TTGGGCAACATGGAAAAACCCTGTCTCTACTAAAAATACAAAAATTAGCCAGGTGTGGTAGTAGGCACCTGTAATCCCAGCTACTTGAGAGGCTGAGGTATGAGAATTGCTTGAACCTGGGAGGCAGAGCCTGCAGCGAGCCGTGGTCACGCCCCTGCACTCCAGCCTGGGCGATAAAGCGAGACTCCATGTCAAAAAAAAAAAACAAAACCCTTTTGGATACAGCTAAGGCCGTGCTAAGAGGAAAGTTCATAGCCCCAAACGCCTACATCAAAAAGTCTGAAAGAGTATAAACAGATAATCTAAGGTCATGCCTCAACAAACCAGAGAAACAAGAACAAACCAAACCCAAACCCAGCAGAAGAAAAGAAGTAACCAACATCAGAGCAGAACTAGATGAAATTGAAACAAAAAAATACAAAAGATAAATGAAACAAAAAGCTAGTTCTTTGAAAAGATAAATAAAATTGATAGACCATTAGCCCATTAGCAAAATTAACCAAGGAAAGAAGAGAGAAAATCCAAATAATCTCACTAAGTAACGAAACAGGAGATATTACAACAGACACCACTGAAATACAAAAGATCATTTAAGGCTACTATGAACATCTTTATGCACATTAACTTGAAAACCTAGAAGAGATGGATAAATTCCTGGAAAAATACAACCCTTCTAGCTTAAATTAGGAAGAATTAGATACCGTGAACAGACCCAATAACAAGCAGTGAAATTGAAATTTTAAAATTATCAACAAAAAAAATGTCTAGGACCAGACAGATTCACAACAGAATTCTACCAGACATTCAAAGAATTGGTACCAATCCTTTGACAGTATTCCACAAGACAGAGAAAAAAGGAACCCTTCCTAATTCATCCTATGAAACCAGCATCATCCTAATACTAAAATCAAGAAAGGACACAACCAAAAAAGAAAATTGCAGACCAATATCCTTGTTGAACACAGATGCTAAAATCCTTAACAAAATAACAGCCAACTGAATCCAACAACATATCAAAAAGATAATCCACCATGATCAAGTGAGCTTCATACCAGGGATTCAGCAATGGTTTAACATACACAAGTTAATAAATGTGATACACCATATAAACAGAAACAAAAATCACATGATCATCTCAATCTCAATAGGTAGATTTGTAAAAATTCTTCTCCCATTCTGTAGGCTTTGCCTGTTCCACCCTCTGAATGGTAGTTTATTTTTGCTGTGCAGAAGCTCTTTAGTTTAATTAGATGCCCATTTGGGTCAATTTTGGCTTTTGTTGCGTTGCCTTTTGGCGTGTTTTAAGTCATGAAGTCTTTGCCCATGCTCATGGCCCTGATGGTATTGCCCTAGTTTTCCTTCTAGGTTTTTATGTTTTAGGTCTAACATTTACAGCGTCTTTAATCCATCTTGTATTAATTTTTGTACAAGGTGTAAGGAAGCGGATCAGTTTCCAGTTTTCCTAGACATATGGGCTAGCCCGTTATTCCCAGCACCCATTATTAAATAGGGAATCCCTTTCAGGGAGGGGTTCTCTTCTTAACTTTCTTTCTTTCTGTAAAATAACTCAAATACTGGCCTGAATCAAGTTACTATCAAGTCCTGACTGAGCTATAATAAAACCTTCCTTCCATTGCTCAAACAAAAACTCTAGTGTTTTCACCACATATTACAAGTATACATCTGTTCTCCTTTAAAACACTAAATACTTTCCCAAATGCCCATCAATCAAGGAGTAGACTAAAGAACTTATGGTACTATACTATGCCCACATATATACACGTGTGTGTGTATACACTGTATATATGTGTGTACTACCCACAACACACACACACCACACACACCCATCCCATCTCATAGAATCTCACTTATCCATAAAAAAAGAAATGGAAGTAATGGCATTCACAGCAACCTGGACTGGAATTATTCTAAGTGAAAGTAACCCTCAGCAAATGGAAACCCAAACATTCGTAAATGTTCTCATCCCTTCATAAGTGGATAGCTAAGCTATGAAGAGGATACAAGGGCTCTAAGAACTGATACAACGGACTTTGGGACTTGGGGGATTGGTGGTAGGGGAGTGAGAGATAAAGATTAACACGCTGGGTCCAGCATACACCTGCTCGGGTACTGGGTGGCACCAAAATCTCAAGAAAATTACCAACTAAAAGAAACTTGTTCTCAGTACCCAAGACACTACCTGTTCCCCAAAAACCCCTATTGAAACAAAAAACACTAAATACTTTCAGTCTACGGGTTAGAACTGCAATAACCGAAGCAATGTATCAATGATCTGACTTCTACGAAGTATCTTTCTTAACCCATGTAATTATATCCAACGAGGATGACATACATGTCGTATTGTATCATGTTTTATCTTCATAAGAATGCTTCTATACCTCGCTATCTTGATGGGCTCTGATATTCTCAAAATAGCATCTCCCTACTACATTAATCCAAGTTTTAAAAATCTTGCTGAGAAATTCAAAAGGAATACTCCTTCTCACTCAGATATAAACACCCTACCTTTCCCGGCTC